TCTTCATAGCAGCTTCTTCAGTAGATGTGGATTCCAGGTTTTAAAAAATTATTTATTAGGTACTCTTTATGCCCAACGTGGGGCCTGAACTCATGACCCTGAGATCAAGAGTCGCATGCTCTTCTGACTGAGCCAGCCAGGCACCCCCGCATTCCATTTTGAACAAACCAGAGGAAAAGTCATGTAGGTATTAAAAAGAAAATTTTGGGGGCACCTGGGTGGCTCAGTCAGTTAAGTGCCTGACTTCAGCTCAGGTCATGATCTCAGTCCATGGGTTTGAGCCCCACATTGGGCTGTGTGCTGACGGCTCAGAGCCTGGAGCCTGCTTTGGATTCTGTCGCCCTCTCTGCCCCACCTCTGCTTACACACACACACTCTCTCTCTCTCAAAAATAAACATTTAAAACAATTTTTTATAAAAGAAGAAAATTTTCGGTTTCTAGACTAGAGAGGTAGAGGCAAAGGACATCTGGGCTACCCACCACTTCTAGCTTGTTATAACCCTGATAAAATTAACGCTAATTTATCTTTTCCACTTACAATTAGTTAAGTGATCAAAAACACATGTGCTTGTCTTATTAAAATAATTATAAATTGGAGGAAAAGCTAGATTTGGTGTGTGTGTGTGTTTGCTTGCTGATAGTTCTTAGAACGTGGTATTGGGAAGTGCTGAGGAAAATCCAGTATCCATGCATTAACCTGTTGGCTCGCTTCCTTGTAATTACAAAGTGTGTTCTGATTTAGTTTGAGCAAATAGTGAACTTGAATGTTCTGCAATCTGAAAATTCGGTGCACTTCCCAAGAGTGAGTCTGTCCCCCTCACTGGAGGCCTTCGAGTAGGACAGAAGACCCCGGGGTCAGAGGACTCAGGCAATAGTGGCTGGGTGTTCAGACTAGGTCGTTTACGAGGTCCTTAAAAAACTTCAAGGAATACAAGACACAGCCAAGACAATTTAAGGCGAAACCGTACAAACGAAATAAGATGGAGAAAAACCCTGAAGGCAAAAAAGAAAAAAAAAAAGGAAAGAATTGAGCGGATGATGAGGAAATGAAACCGCTAAGCAATTTGGTTAGTAAAGGCACGTTAATCATTTTGCAGTTAATGCAGGTTTTCCTTTCCCCGACTACTATTATTTTATCCCTTTCTCTCTTGAAAATGAAAAACCCATTCGTTTTTTTCCTTTTGCTTTTCCCCAGGAATTAAAGGTTTGGTAAGTGGTAATTAGCATAGCTCCCGTCAAAGCCAATTGCCTAATGGGGACCGACATTTGACTTGAGTTGAAAGAATGGGATATGGCTAATGCGGAGTTCATTAGTCCCAGCTGCTTCCTCTGACATTCTTTTCTCCTCCCGTAAGAACGGGCTGCCCTGCCCTCTCTCTCCTATTTTTAGACATATTGCTGTGCCGCTACATTTCTATTCTGGAAGGTAAGTGGCACCAGGGGCAATGAAATGTGTTTGCAGCCGCGCGCACTGTGCATCTGGGTCTGAGTTTGCAGACTAAGGTCTTCGCCCCGTAGACCCGTAGACAGGAGCCCCCTCACACAGCTCTGTCTTTGCTCCTGCGCCCCCTCCCTCTGCCCCTGGGGAGATGAAGGGAACCTGCTCTCTGCAGTCCTACTATGTGCTAGGTCCCACGCTCCTCCTCACGCTTCATTTACCCCTTTCACCCGGCGGCGTGGCTCACTCCGAGCCCCACAGCACTTTCCCCATTATCCTGTGCAGCCGAGATGCTTGGTGGATTGGTCTCAAGTAGGGCGTCCCAACACCCAGGCCAGCCAACAGCAGCCCTACTGTGTCTTTGAGACGTAGTTCGAGAAAACATTTTTAATTCCGGAGGGCAAAGACGGAGATGTTGCTGTAACTGGTGAGTGGAGGGTCCATTCTGTTCCTGGAATCCAGGCTTCCTTTACCCCTGGGCTATCTGTACAGGGTTCACGGGGCTATTCTCTTATACCACCGGCACTGTGCCTGTGGTCAGAAATCTGGCAATTATGCTGTAGACACATGAGGTCTTTTCCGGTTCGAGTGGATTCCAACTTGTTACACTGGTGTAACACGACCAGTGACCTGGACGTAGAATAGAAAAGACGGTATGGGGCGCCTGGGTGGCTCAGTCAGTTAAGTGTCCGACTTCAGCTCAGGATATGATCTTGTGGTTTGTGGGTTTGAGCCCCACGTCAGGCTCCGTGCTGACAACTCAAAGCCTGGAGCCTGCTTCCAATTCTGTGTCCTCCCCTCCGCCCCCGACACATGCTCTGTCTCTCTCTCTCCCTCAAAAATAAACATTAAGGAAAAAAAAAAAAAAGAGCATGTGGACATAAGAGAAAACACACCAAAGTGGGAAAAGCACTGGAATTGGAACCAGGATCCCAGGCCTCCAATTAGCCTTGTGACACGGGGCAAATCTCTGAACCTTGCCAAGTACAGCTTTGCTATGTATGAGAGGATAAGTCACACCCTAACCGGCTCACTCAGTTTTGTGAGGCTCCCGTATATAAGTGCTAACCCAGAGCAGACTGCTAGAAAAATCCCCAGCCGGCATAAGTGCCCCTCCAGGGGCATTCCGAAGACATGTGGGGATGTCTTCCGTTGTCTCCATGCCCACAGACGGCCACTGGCATCGAGTGGGTGGGGGTAGGCCGTGGGATGCCCGGTCTCTGTGCCCTGTCCAGGACGATTCCCCAAGTTGAAGAATCGGCCCGTAGGCTGCATGGCTTCTGAATGTCATGCTGGACATTCACAGGGATGAAAATCTGTTCCAAATTAGATTACAAAGCCCAAAGAAAGAGTTTGTGCAGAAACAGGATGTATATAAACCAGAAGCCTCTGCCTTGCACCCAGAGAGACTCACAGCCATATCACATGGAGATCGGTTTAATGACCTTTCATACCCCCTGCTGATAAAACATATTAGAAAACTAGAAACAGTTTCACAGTGGTAACAAATATAATTTCACAATTAGAAATGGCGAATTAGACTCTCCATATGTCCCTATGGTCTGCAGACTTAATATGCGCCTTTACACAAACCAAAAAATTCATTCACTTGAGAAACGAGTTTGTGGCCATAAATCAACTCTGGTACGTCACCTTCCTGACCATTATCTGTGTTGAAAATTCTGCAGTTCTAGCTTCTGAAAAAGGATAGTGAGTCTGAAATACAGCAGCTTCTTTTCAAACAGAGACCACGAGGACAGGTCATTAGTAAGAGGTGGGGTATTGTTGGTGCAGCTTTGTCATTCAAAAAATGCAAGGGCGGGAGCTGAGATGTGACAGCACTTTTCTGGAAGGGACCGCAGGAGGCTGGTCTTCCAGGCTGTTCCAGAAGGTGCTATCAGGCAGGGGGTACAGTATTAAGGCAGCAGCTACAGTAATCAGGCTGAAGGTATTTACTGAGAATGAGAACAAGGCCACGGGGTTTCCGGCTGCAGCTATGTGGGGTCTTGTCTGGCTCGCTTAGGCTCCTGCCGTTCTCCACGCAGCGAACTCTTCCTGGCCGACAGGTTCCGGAGAGAACGCAGGCTCTGCACCTGCTGGAGGCGCAGGCTGAGCTCCTGATTACAGGCCTGCTGCACTGTCACCGTCTTCTCCGCGTCCCAGCTCAAAGCGGCAGCCAAAGCTCCGGGGTCTTCCTTGGCAACCAGCTGCGGCAAGAATGAGAACCACTGAGAAGCGCTCCCGGCTCCCCTCGCCTGCTGCTCTCTCTCGCTCCCGGGATTTTCTTTAGGGGACTGAGCTCGGGCAGCGCCGGCGTACGTGAGGTCTTTGTGCTGAAACGCCAGAATCCTTTCACGCTCCATGGCCACGGCCTTTCCTTACCCTCCAACACCGACACGAAAGTCCCTCTGGAAGTTTCGTGGGAGCAACTTGTCAAGTCCTCCACTTACGGGAAATTTAGGCCAGGCGCAAGTCGAGAGGTCTCCTGCCTTCTAGCTACACGGGGAGGTGCCTGGGACAGGGACAAGGACGAAGAGGAAGTGGCGCCCACTCTGACGGATCCTGTGTCAGGCTTCTAGTTCCCTGGCCGTGGAGTCAGCACAAGATGACCCCCACCCCCCCAGGCGCACCTTTCACTAGGATAACTTTATGTGCCTCGACTGACGATGATCTCCCTCAGGGGCCGACAGAACCAGAAACCGCCCTCCGAAGCTTGAGCCCCGCCACTCCTCCCTGTAGCCACTCCTCCCCGACCGGTTCGGGCATTCCGTTTCCCACAAAGGACCCGAGAATGCGGTTTGACGATCTGCAGGAGTGCACCTGTTTGTTCAAGCCATTCTGATATAGATGAAATGAGACGTTTGTTCAAGCCATTCTGACAAAGACGAAATGAGATGTGCATAGAAGAGGCAAACGGGGCAGCGAGGAGCCAGGGTCTGCAGAGGCCAGAAGCAATCCCGTATGCGCCTCTGCAGGGCGCTGCACCCCCAGGGGGAGTGGCTCCCTGCAGCTCAGGGTCCCCCGTTCTTGCCCACCTCCAAATCCTGACTGGACAGACTCAGCTCTGGAGCAGGCTTCTCCTTCAGCACAGTAAGGATCTGGCTTGTGAGTGCGATTGTGGAGGAGCTCTCTCTGTTACCCCCCGTGTCGACTGCATCCGTCTGGTCACCAACAGTTTGGGACTCTGCAAAGCAGACATGAGGAGATGGTGCACTGGGCAAACATACAGCCGCACAAACGACCGGGGAGCCATCAGTCGGGCAAGGGAGAGGCACGCGGGGGCGCCTGGGGGGGGCTCAGTCGGTTAAGCGACCCACTCTTGATTTTGGCTCAGGTCACGATCTCGCGGTTCGTGGGATCGAGTCCTGCATCAGGCTCCGCGCTGACAACGTGGAGACTGCTTGGGATTCTCTCTCCCCCCTCTCCTCTCTCTCTGCCCCTCCCCTGCTTGCGTGCGCCCTCTCTTTCAAGATAAACGTTAAAAACAAAAAAAGAAAGACAGAAGCACGTCATTTCAAGATGCAAGCAGCTGTGGTGTCACCCTTTTTTGGCCACATTATAAACACGGGTTCTCTCCCCAGGCCCTCAGTTCTCAGGGCGACTCCCCTGGCCAGTTGAGTCCTACCTTGCTGCTTTGACAAGATTCCGCCCTCCTTCTCTAAAGCCTGGAGGTAAAGCTCCAAGAGCTGCTTGGACTGACGGGCTTCCTCCCTCTGGTCCAGGACCTGCTGGAGGGTGTTCTGGAGCCCCTGGACGGTGACGCAGCTCTGGCAGAGTTCCTGAGCCAGGTCTGAACACGGAGCATCAATGAGCACCTAACATACAAACACAGACTTTAACAAACCTAAAAACACTTCTAAGACACTGTGGCCCCGACCTGTCCATGGCAAGCTCCCTCCTTCCTTCAGCTCTCGGTGTAATCGCCACCTCTTGGGAACCTGCCAGTGTCCATCAACTGCACTTCTGGGACTTTATTCTACGGACAAGCATGTGTGCAGAATGACACGGAGCTTCCTGTAGCACCGTCTGGAACAGCAAGACTGATGACAACCCAGATGTCCACCAGTGGGGGAGACTCCCGATTAAGTCATGGCACATGAGCAAAACAGAATACGATGCAGTGGTACAAAAAAGAACGGCAATGTCTTTTACGTACTGATCTGGAATATTCTCCAAATGTTTCTTTTAAAAAGGGTAGATATACTTCCATTGTGGAGTCCAGGGACAGGAGAAAATATGTATGTATTTGTTGGCATATACAACATTTCTAGAATGGGAAATTGAGAGGTGATTATCTCTGGGAAGGGAAACCTGGTGGTTAAGGGGCAGGAGTCAGATTTTTCCTGCATGTCCTTTTTATTTTTTTTCCAAACAGCTTTATTGAGATATAACCCACATACCATATGATTCACCCATATAAAGTGTATAACTAGGTGGGTTCTAGTACATTCACAGACTTGTGCAGTCAGCACCCTTGAAAGCACAGCACCCATTAGCTATCACTCCTGTTTCCGCTCAAAGCTTCCCCAACCCCAGCCCTAGTCAGCCACTCTATCTTCTATCTCTGCGGACTTGCATATTCTGGCCGTTCCATATAGAGGCAACTACAAAATCCGTGGCCTTTCATGTCTGGCTTCTTCACTTCGCGTAACATTTTGAAGGCTTTATCCACGTTACACATGTATGAATACTTCATTCCTCTTAGGTCATATGGATAAACCACATTTTATTTATCCATTCTTCAGTTCACGGACATCTGGGTTGTTTTCACTTTTTGGCTACCCGTATATCCTTTTATACCTCTTGGATTTTGAGCCATACAAATGTATTTATTTATTTATTTAAAAAAATTATTTTTTAAATATTTATTTATTTCTGAGACAGACAGAGACAGAGCATGAGTGGGGGAAGGGCAGAGAGAGAGGGAGACACAGAATCTGAAGCAGGCTCCAGGCTCTGAGCTGTCAGCACAGAGTCCGACATGGGGCTTGAACTCACAGCTGTGAGATCATGACCTGAGCTGAAGTAGACACTCAACCGACTGAGCCACCCAGGTGCCCCTGAATGTATTTGTTTTTATTCAAATATGTAAGTTTGTAAGTTTAAAAAAATTACGAAAAAAGCCACCTCCTCGGAGGGGCCTCCCCTGATCTCCCAATCCAGACTAGCCCCGTTGTTCTTGGCACACTGCCCCACCTGCTACCCATCGAACATGCTTCCTGTTTTATCTGCCTCCTGTCATCAGAATTTGAGCTCCTTCCATCAGAATTCTGTGTCTGGCTTGTTCACCACTGTACCCCTTGGACAGAAACATGCCAGGCACAGAGTAGGTGCTTAGTAAATATTTTTTTTTGAATTGACAGTACTATTTTTATCCCAATTTTACTGGACAGGAAATGTAGGCAAAGAGGCTAAATTACTGGCTCAAAGCCATGGTGATGGAGCTGGGATTTAATTCGGCTTCTCCACTTCCACATTCTTTGACAATACCTCCTTAACCCCCCAGTGAGACTAAGTGGGTCTAGGCATCTGGATTTTCTACTCTAGGTGCAAGAATTAGAAAATGAAGAGTCTGGGTTGTTGTCAAAGCATTGTTTAAAAATTAAGAAATAGGGGCGCCTGGGTGGCTCAGTTGGTTAAGCATTTGACTTCGGCTTAGGTCGTGATCTCTTGGTTTGTGGGTTCGAGCCCCACATCGGGCTCTGTGCTGACAGCTCAGAGCCTGGACCCTGCTTCGGATTCTGTGTCCCCCTCTCTCTGCCCCTCCCCAGCTCATGCTCTGTCTCTCTCTCTCAAAAATAAATAAACATTTAAAAAAAGATGTTAATAAAAATTAAGAAATAATGGAATTATTATGGCAAGACACATGGAAACTAAGGGGCTGGGGGCAGCAGAGCCAGATGAGTGGGGCTGTGGAGGAGGAAGGCTCACCTGGAGGTCTGCCTCGGACAGGAGGATGATGCTGGACACGTCTTCTTTCAGCTGCCTGGCCACATTCCTCCACCTCAGCCCTGCCCCAGTGTCCGTTTCATCTACGTCAAAGGACTCTTGGGAAATCCAAGCTGTACCTCCATCTGATATAGGGGAGAAAAAGCCAGTCACAGTCTGGTTAACCTGAAGTGCTATTTTCACCTCCTCCTCCAACACACAGACCTTTAGGAGGTCTGTACATCCTTCCCACTGACCATTTAGAAAAAGTTCAGGGGTGAGGGAAGCGCCTTCTCTCAAGGATTCACGGGAAAGCCAATCCCCATCTAGGACCTGCATTCTCCCTTCTCTTCCACCTTCGATTATTTCTGTGTGAATCTGCTCTGTATCTTTTGTATGAAAAGAAGCCACTAAACCTGATGCCCCGGTCACGCATACCCAGGATCCTACTACACTCCCCTTGAGGGGAGTTTTTGTGTCTCAGTAAATGCTGGCTGCACAAATGCTTAACCGGACAAACAGCAACCAGGTGCCTGGGCAGCAAAATGAATCGTGATGGATGTTGTATCGCATAGATCATTTTGTCTACGGCCAGAGTTTCTTACCTGAATTGTTGTACGTCCACTTTTCGTTACTGGCCAATGCGACGAACTTAGTGTTGGAAGGCAGACACAGGAAGTAATCATCATCATCCACTATGGTGCCATCCTCTGCCAAGACCAGGGTGATTGGTGCCAGGGACTTATCAATGGCCAGAATGTCACAGGCTGAGAGGAATAAAATATTTGGCAATTGACAAGTATCCATAAGGAAACTACACCTGTCTCTGTACTCTCAACACATATGCTCTCAAAGCGCAGAACTGCTGGTAGGTTACCTACAGTAACAACCACAACCGCCAGCACTAAGACAACACTTCCCACACGCCTGGTACTGTTCTAAGTGTTTCCTGTGCACAGTATTTTATCTCCTAACAATCCTGTAAGGTAGGGACTATTCTTATTTCCATTTTACAGATGTCAAACCCAAGGCTCACAGAGGCTACGTCACTTGTCTGAGGTCACACAGTAAGTGGCAGACACCCAGTCTGACTCCTGACAATGTTTCCTCCAGCTGCTTTACACCCACGGTAGGAGCACTCGCATCTTTACTTGGATGAAAACCAAGCCAAAGTCCGATATGAGTCCTTGTAAGCGAGCCGTCTTTCATTCATTTATTCAGTGGTCATCTTAAATTCTCCTGTGTCAAATGTCAAAAAACAAAACAGAACAAAACGAAAGAAAAAAAAAGAAAAGGAAAGAAGAGTAAAAAAGGAAATGCTTTCTGTTCCATGCAGCATTGTACTCTGCAGTGTTTCTAACCTACAGGAAGGCACAGGAGAAGCAGGAGTTTGCATCAGTAGCTTCTCCTCTTTACTGTCAAGGGGCAACAGGCTTGTCTGGGGCAGATCTGTCCCATCGCATTTGGTGATGGCAATGCCTACAGCACAAACAGGGTGAGGGGAAGCAGCAAAGTAGCCAGTGGACTACAAATATGGTTGGGCAATGTCGTCCAGCACCCAAATAGAACAGCAAGCCTTGGAGAGGCTGAGCTCCAAACACAAGCGCTTACACTGGTCTCTGGGCCAAGTGTATCCAGCCGATGCATTCAAGAGGAACTAACACTTAAGTACCCTAATGCCAAGAACAAATATGTGAACAGTGAGGTGGCAAAAGCCATGTCACAAAAGCATTTATGATGCTTTGGCTGCTCCTGGGTCTCCGAAAGATTTCTGTCTGGTATCTTTTGGGGCTTGGTGACTCACAGAGGAGCACTGAACACTGACACACTATGACTGGGGATGGCTCACACGTTTAACGTGTACAACTTCACCGTGGATAAACAATTTATTATTACTGGCTCATAATACTTTCAAGTCGTGGAAACACAACAGTCCTGTAAAGCACGGCTGGAAATATTATACCCATTTTGCCGATGAGAAAACTGAGGGTCGAGAGCTGGTTTAAGTACAAGGTCAAGCAGCCAGTACGTGTGGGGCCGGGACTCGGAACTTCGGTCACTCAGAGCACCAGTTCCTTGTCTGGAACTCCAGGAAGGTCGGAAGCAGCTCTCTCTACGCTGCACAAGTGCCTGCCAGAGCTGACGACAGAAAGGCGCTGGCACCCTGCTGGGGGCACCAGCGTCACGGTAGGAAGCCCGGAGGCAGGCATGCACCAGGCTAGGTCTGCTCCAAGGTCTGAGCGATTCTAGGCAAGACACCTAAGTTGAGTCGGTTTTAATTTGCATATTTCCTTCCGTCTACCTTCCCACCAAATGAGCCTCACATGAGATAATCGCCTTGAAACTTGTCCATCGCTATGCCCACATGAGTTATTTCCGTCCCAAGTCGCTCCTGCTGACCGCGCTTTGCCCCTGCCCGACCTCCTCACCGGACCCGGCTCCCCGCAGCCCCCGCCCCGGCCCCCACAGCCTCCGCCCGGGTCCCGCGCCAACCCTTGTTCCTCAGCTCCTCCAGGCAGGAGGCCGCCACGCCATGCTGCTCGCGGCTGTGGTTGCGGCGCAGCAGACACGGCTTCAGAGGCCGGATTTCAGTCTCGGCGCCTCCGGCCACCTCCATATTCCTCAGGGTGGGACTCGACTGACTCGGGGAAGTCGGGGAGGCTCCGCGCGGCGCCACCCCCCCGCCCGCGACTTGCCGGGAGATGTAGTTCTTTCTGCGGCAAATCACGCGTGGGACCAAGGTACGCCGGGAAGTGTAGTCTTAGTTGCCGCTAATCCCGTGTGGCTCCGGGGGTATGCCGGGAGCTGTAGTCTCTGGGATCGAAGCTAACTTCGTTACGTCACTCAATTCGGCCTAGAGGAGTGTTTTTCTAGCTTATATTTAGGAGTTCAGTGGCGGGATCAAAATGAGGTCAATATGGATTTATTTTGCGTTATGAAAGACACGCATATATATTCCTTGGATTGTTAGAGTACTCTTAATTGCATATATAGATGCATAACGTTAACACTCAAATGAAACAGTGACATTGTACTGTGTTCATTTGTTTTCCTTTCCAAACTGAAAAGATCTGTAAGATGTCCCAACCCTCAGGCAATTTAAAACAATGATGAGTGTAGTTTTCAGTCCTGCTGAAAGAATAAGATACTCGCACATTTCCACCAGTTTGATTCCCGGCTTCAGCTGTGCAAATTGGGATCTCGGAACGAAATGCTTACATAACTAGATTAAACATTAAGATCTCAAATCAGACAGGAAAGGGAAAATGCGAACCACATCACTGTTTGAGATTGTCCAGATGCTGCTTGGCAATAAATTCATCCTTGTTCTAACACTGCTACTTTCTTCCCTCTAAAAAACGTTTACCAGTAAAATAATAAAAAATTTTAAAAGGTTCTTCGCTTGAAGTGGGGGCAGGGGGGAGGCATTTTACGTACATAAGAAATAGCTCATATTCATCCAGAGTCTCTTTCATATTTTGTTTATAAGAAAATAAGATATTATCTCATTAGAAAAGGGTAGGCATTTAAAACTGTTTGGTAAGAGGAATTGCTGAGGCAACCCTTTTAAGTACTCATAATCAGTCAAAACACAACTGCAATATGAACTGACCGATAGTTCTAATATATGCAATTTTTAATATAATTTTACATTTAGCTTAAAATCTAACTACTCAACTACTATCAAGTAAGAATGTAGAAGTCTCTTCTCTCCAAAAAGCTCCGTTCTGTGTCTTCTTAATCTGCAAACTGTTATCAGACTCCTATCCGTAAGATGCTGTAATCGTGTGTGTGTGTGTGTGTGTGTGTGTGTGTGTGTGTGTGTGTGTGTGTGTCTTGTGTTTGGCCTGAATTTAGGAGCAGGAATTGAGTCTTGGATCTTCTTTTTTTTTTTTTAACGTTTTATTTATTTTTGAGACAGAGAGAGACAGAGCATGAACGGGGGAGGGGCAGAGAGAGGGGGAGACACAGAATCGGAAGCAGGCTCCAGGCTCTGAGCCATCAGCCCAGAGCCCGACGCGGGGCTCGAACTCACGGACAGCGAGATCGTGACCTGAGCTGAAGTCGGCCGCTTAACCGACTGAGCCACCCAGGCGCCCCGAGTCTTGGATCTTCTTATTACTAGCAGCTACCAAAGTGCCTGGCAAATAGTAGGCACTCAACAAATGGTATTGAACATTAATTAATTAATTTCCAAGGTTCTTCCCATTCATTCATTTATTAAAGATTTAGCGAGTCCCTGCCTGTGCCCAAGGCACTGTGGGGATGGTCAGAGATTTAATTCAACGAGAATAATAAAAATGCAAAAAACACGGACTTAAGAACTTCCTGGGCAGCAGAGACCTAATGGCAATTGTGTGAGGTGACCCGGACGTAGGAGTGCCCCTTCCTCCTCGCGTGCCCCTCCGCCGCGTGCCCCCATCGACAGGTTCAGTTCCGGCTACTTCGGTCTGGGCGGGTGAGCGAGAGCGAGGGCGCTTGGGAGACGCCTCGCCCAGCGGCGATAGATTAGTCAGGCCTCAGAAAGATGGCGTCCTCGGAGCAGGCAGAGCAGCCGAGCCAGGTAAGGGGAGTGGGACTGCCCCGCCGTAGTGGCGGGGACCGCGGCTGGAGGGGGCGCTCGGCGTGCGGCTGGGCGTTGGGCGGGGGCCTTGAGCCTCCCCAGCCGGGGGCCCCGACCTCTTGCCCCCTCCCGGGCCCCGCCCCTCCCCAGGTCCTCGCCGCCCGGCCCCTCCCCCGGTGACCCCTCTCAGACCACATTCCCGAGCCGAGGCTCGGGGGCGCCCGCGGGCCCCCGCTTCCCTCCTGCTGACCCCTCGGGTCCCACTTGCGCTTGGCCGGGACGGTGGCGGGACCCTTGAGAAGCCTCCAGCCTTGAGCTGCGAGGGCCCCTGCTTGAGGAGAGAGAGGGGTGAGAGGCTCCATCGTTCTCGGTTGTCCCCTCCCAGGAGGGCCCTGACTCCATCAGGATTCCCACTCCCACAGCCTCAGCCTCGCGAGGTGGCCCCGCTGCCAGCCTCTTCGTCACCTTTGCGCGTTCCCTGCCAGTGGAGGATCAGAAATGTACTGGGACTCTCTCAGTACGTTGGTAGGAAGGGCACTCACTGTAAACAACAGACGCCACCAAGCTTTTGCTGAGGATCCGTTTTTGCTTCCCAGAGTTTGGTTTTCTAGGCCAAAGGGCCCCCTTTTAGCTTTTCAGCCGCAGTTTCAGCCAGATCACACTCCATTAAGGGGACCTTGGGGACCAGTGTTCGTGCTGTCAGGTAGCAGTGGATGATAAGGCCTATGAGTGGGTTTGAAATCCAAAGGTGGGTGGGCTGGGGTGGGGAGGACAGGGGTCAGCGGTACCTTGCATTTACTGAGGGTGTGCTATCATGCTGGGGACAAATTAACGTTTATTGTCTTGTGTAATGGTCATTACGACCTTTATGAAATACAGGCTATTAACCGCCATTTCAACAGAAGTGGATTCTAGAGGTCTGTAACATACCCCAGATCACGTGCCTGATGGGGGCTGCATTTAAACCCAGATGTGTGTGACTCCACCGGTTAGCCACACATGCTTACATTTACTTAGGATTAGACCAAGGAAGAAGAAAATGGTTTCAATGTGGACTTCATCTCTCACCTCCTTGAAACACCTGTAGACTTTTCATAGCCTAGTGGCATTTCAGTTCCTTCCTAGGCACAAGAACACTACTTAACGTTTCTTACTGTTTTATTCTTCAGGATAGGTCTATTACAGGAATTGCACGTAGAGGAGTTGTGTGTTCCCCACATCAGCTTCTGTTAGCAGAGCAAATGATTCAGAAAGATGAAGTCTGGATTGTAAAATATGGGAAATAACTCGGGCTGATTCTGGCCTTTCTCACCGTCAGAAATTCTGGAGTGTGGGAGTGTCTGGGAGGAGGGGCCCTTCTTTCTTGACTTATCTCGCTTAGCTTCCTGAAATGCTGAAGCTCTTCAAAATCTGGGCTTTTCTGAACGGTTACATGTTAGGGATGCCCACAGCCTGGGGTGTGTGTGTGTGTGTGTCTGTCTGTCTGTCTTCATTCCCTGATTCTTCTAGGACTTTTAATTTGCCAGTGCTGTTAAAGTTACTAAAAAGCTTGCCACTTGGAGCCATTGTAGTGCCCAAGGATTCCTTTGGTTCTGGAAATTGCCCTTTCTGTACATGTGGAAGGGATCTAAGGTCCTCTGAGGGGGTTTGGCCATACTTGTTGGGTTTTCAGCTCTGCGTATCCTTTGCCCTCCTTTCCAAAGCTGGTAGAGACGGGATTGCATCAGAACACGCTGGCAGTCAGGGGAAACTTTTAACTCCATGCCAGATTCTGTCGTTGTCTAACAATAAGCCGCAAATGCACACTTTTTAAGTGGACCAACTTCTAGCGGTTGCTTGTCATTTCATTTTCAAGTCCTGATCAACTTAGTTTCCCATTGCTGCTGTCAAAGCAGAGTGGAATTTAAAGAACAATGTGGATAGTTCCTCCAAACCTGGTCTGTAAGAAAGAACACATGTCTGTGGGGCCGAATCAGTATTTGTTTCATAGAAAGTTTGTTGGTTGGCTTTGTGGCTTCAGCTTCTCGTTTTGGAAGGTACAGGGTGGTAGCCAACCCCCTTCTTTGAGAGGCGGTGTCGAGCAGTGGCATGGGCTCCAAAGCCATCCTTATTGGCTTAGAAGCCTAGCCCCACTACTCATAGCTGTGTGATCTTGGACAAGTGACTGAGACTTGGACTGGGACAAGAGAATCCCAGACAGTGCAGAGCCCAATGTGGGGCTTGAACTCACGAACCATGAGATCATGACTGAGCTGAATGAAATTGGATGCTTAACTGACTAAGCCACCAGGCACCCCAATAAAATAACTTACTTTAATTTTTTTTAATGTTTTATTTTATTTTTGAGAGAGAGAGAGACAGAGACCACAGAATCTGAAGCAGGCTTCAGGCTCTGAGCTGTCAGCACAGAGCCCTACACGGGGCTCGAGCTCACGAACCGTGAGATCATTACCTGAGCCGAAGTTGATGCTCAACCAATTGGACCACCCAGGTGCGCCTAAAATGACTTATTCTAGAGCAGTGCCTGACATAGTGTTGTTATTATTACTGCATTCATAAACTCTGGATTTTCACTCACAAACGAGAAATCTTTTTTCCAGTCCTATTATCATCTTTTTGGGGGGTATGATCTTTCACATGTTGCCTACCAGTCCACTCAAGTTGTTCTTTTATTTGTTCTGGAGCAACTTCTTTCATATTTGAATACCCTGAATGCTGGCGTTTATCCTAGCTGTCCTTGTGACTTTTAGATGCTAGTGACATGCTTGATTTTTTCATAATGGCAGTCTTCTTAGTCTTTCTTCAGTCTGAGTTAGAAATTACATTTATTGCTGGGGCGCCTGGGTGGCTCAGTCGGTTAAGCGGCCGACTTTGGCTCAGGTCATGATCTCACGGTCCTTAAGTTCGAGCCCCACGACGGGCTCTGTGCTGACAGCTCAGAGCGTGGAGCCTGCTTCGGATTCTGTGTCTCCCTCTCTCTCTGACCCTCCCCTGTTCATACTCTGTCTGTGTCTGTCTCAAAACTAAATAAACATTAAAAAAAAGAAAAGAAATTACATTTATCGCTTCAAATCCTCGTATTTTCCCCATGTTACCCTGGGTTGCATGGTTGATCTCTTATGAGAGGCCCTTCTAGTCTGTACCTGGTATGGCCCATAGAAATGGGAGCTGTTATCCTTATTTCTGTTTCTCCATCAGCTGTCTTCAGTGAAGTGCAGAAGCATGGTTCATTCTGGGTGTTTAGTGGTTATTGAATATTGAATATATTGCAGAACATGGATTTCAAATCTGTTGAAATTCCCCGGATACAGTACATTTGAGATGGAGAAAACACAGAAGCAGGGGAGGGAGAAGAACACAGCAAAGACGTTAAGGAGTGCGAGAGCATGGCCTTGTATCCTGACAGTCTTTGAACTTCAGCCCTGACTTGCTATTGGACTCACCACTCCACCTCCCTGAGCCTGTTTTCTCCTCTGTAAAGTAGTAATTACCCTAAAGGGTTGCTCTGAGGGTTGCTCAGAGACATAAAAAAAAGTATTTGGTGCATAGTAAGTGCTCAGTGAGTGTTAGTTTCCTTCTCCTGAGTCTTTATGTGCAGTTTTGGCAGTGTGCTGAACTCTTTTTTTTTTTTTTTTTAATGTTTATTTATTTTTGAGAGAGTGTGAGTGGGAGAGGGGCAGAGAGGGGGACAGAGGATCCAAAGCAGGCTCCGCGCTGACAGCACAGAGCCCGATGTGAGGCTTGAACTTACAAACTGTGAGATCGTGACCCAAGCTGAAGCCAGCTGCTCAACTGACTGAGCCACCCAGGCGCTCTGGAAGTCTGCTGAACTCTTGGATAACAGTAGTTCAAATGAGATATTTTTCCCCTCAAGTTTTTGGTATTTTGAAAAATTTCCAACCTGGAGAAATGTTGAAAGAATAATACAGAGAACTCCTGTAAAACTGCCATAAAAATTCAAGATATACTGTTTACATTTTGCTGAATTTGCTTCATCTCTGTCTCTTTATATATATAAATATATATTTCAGGATTTGAGAATGAGTTACAGAATTACAGTATTCCATTCTAAAATACTTCACCTTGGGGCGCCTGGGTGGCGCAGTCGGTTAAGCGTCCGACTTCAGCCAGGTCACGATCTCGCGGTCCGTGAGTTCGAGCCCCGCGTCAGGCTCTGGGCTGACGGCTCAGAGCCTGGAGCCTGTTTCCGATTCTGTGTCTTCCTCTCTCTCTGCCCCTCCCCCGTTCATGCTCTGTCTCTCCCTGTCCCAAAAATAAATAAACACTGGAAAAAAAAAAAAAAAATTAAAAAAAAAAAATAAATAAAATACTTCACCTTGTCTTAAGAGTAAGGTTATTCTTGTTATACCATATCACATGTAACATAATACCATTATCACACAAGAAATTTAGTATTGATAAAATATCATTATTTAAGGGGTGCCTGGGTGGCTCAGTCAGTTGAACATCTCACTCTTGATCTCATCTCAGGTCTTGATCTCAGGGTTGTGAATTCAAGCCCTATGCCTAGCATAGAGCCCACGTTTAAAAAAAAATCATTATTGAGGTGCCTTGATGGTTCAGTTGGTTAAGTGTGTAACTTTGGCTCAGGTCAATATCTCATGGTTCGTAGGTTCAAGTTCTGTATCGGGCTCTCTGCTGTCAGCACGGATCCTTTGTCACCTCCTCTTTCTGTACACCCCCCACTCATGTTCTCTCTCTCAAAAATAAATGTTTAAAAAATCATTATTTAATAATATAGTCCACGCTCACATTCCCCCAATTAAGAAAAATCCAGATCCAATCAAGAAATAGGGATTGCATTGTCTCTTTAGTATGCTTTAGTCTAGAATAACTCCCTAGTCTTTAAAGTTTTTCTTTTTCTTTTCTTTATTTTTTAAATATTTATCTTGAGAGAGAGAGAGAGAGAGAGAGACAAGAAAGAAAGTGGGGGGGGGGCAGAGAGAGAAGGAGAGAGAGAGAATCCCAAGCAGGCTCTATGCTCAGCATGCAGGGCTCAATTTCATGACTGTGAGATCATGACTTGAGCTGAAATCAAGAGTTGGATGCTTAGCCAACTACTCAGGTGCCCCTCTTTTCTTTCTTTCTTTCTTTCTTTCTTTCTTTCTTTCTTTCTTTCTTTCTTTCTTTCTTTCTCTCTTTTTTTTAACGTTTATTTATTTTTGAGAGACAGAGAGGGACAGAGCATGAGTGGGGAAGGGGCAGAGAGAGAGGGAGACACAGAATCTGAAGCAGCCTCCAGGCTCTGAGCTGTCAGCACAGAGCCCAATGCAGGGCTCGAACTCAGAACTGCGAGATCATGACCTGAGCCAAAGTCGGATGCTCAACCAACTGAGCCACCAAGGCGCCCCATCTTTTCTTCCTTTTATTTTTTAACTGAAGTTGAGCATAGACCCAGAAAGCACACAAATTATGTCTCTAACTTGGAGAATTTTCAGAGTGAACACGCTTGTGTAACCAGTGCTTACATTAAGAAATCAAACATTACCAGGACCT